GCTAATGAAATGTTATTGGATGTGGGTGGTGTGTTTTACCTCACTAATTAATTGGTGCACACCACATGCTCGATGAAATGCAACATTGAAGAATACTGATTATTTTGCATTCAATATATCTGGTTTTGGATAGAAAAGTTACAATTGTGCTCTACGCTATCAATAGCGTGCTATAGCGGCGCTATAGCATTTTGCGGTGTTACTGAACCGCTATTTTGAAATAGCGCTTACGAATAGCGGTGACGCTGTTAGCGGCGTTATTGACCGCTATTTACCGCGAACCTCATACGTGCTATAGCAGCGCTACACCTGCTTTTATAATTTCGTACATATTTAGCTACTTTGACAAAGAAAAAAAAATACGATTGTTTGTTATTTCAATATTAAATCCTTATTTTTTTAACTAGTCCACTACACTTTTTGTCTTAACAAGTCCAAATAATAAATATAGTTAATTACAAACTACATGACAACAAATGACAGCTTCCTTTTTTCGTCTGTTTCAGTACTTTGAAACCAAGGACGACTTGAGTTGTGATGAATTTTGACATTTTTTTAGTTTTCATATAACTATATTAGAATATTATATATATATATATATATATATATATATATATATATATATATATATATATATAGATTATGTTGTGTTTTATATGATTTTTTATGATATTAATTCTGTATAGTATTAATAATCTGATATATAAATTTTGTATAAATATATAATATAAATTATACATAATATTAAAAAACAGCTATATCATTGCTATACCACCGCGATAACTACGATTTCAAATAGCGGCATGTAACCGCTATTGAAATTTCGACCGTGATAACTACTTAGGTTGTGCTTTAACTCTCGCACCAAAATGTAGTTCTTTTTGTTTAACACTTGTGTGTGGCTAAACAATGAACATTTTAAAGCATAAGAAAATGGGATCTATGATGCCTTAGTTTTTTTACTTATTGGTTCTTCTTAGGCAATGTCCATGCTGGTGTTAAAAGCTCTTTCATCTGTAACATTCGGATTTCCAGGTATCATATTTAAATTGTTTATTTTGAGTTATGAGGAGGGAATCGACGAGTTAACGCTTAGACTCGTCGAGTAGGATCGCGATTGTTGATTGGATTAATGAACGGACTTGACGAGTCGATGGGTGGGCTCGACGAGTCCGTGCTGTGGATGGAAACCCTAAATCCCCGGGTCTGTGGCCTATTTAAGGGACCTTATGGCCCTCATTTGTGGCTACCAGTCCATAGAGAGAAGCCCTAGTGAGCTTGAGCGCGTGGTGAGAGAATAAGGGCTATTTTGATCCTTGTTGGTGTGGTTTTTGCAAAGAAGAAGGAAATTCCATCAAAAGAAGGTCAGGGGGTTGCTATTCTATGGTTTCAAGCAAGGAACTCCATCTTTGAGGTATTAAATCGATCCTTCTTTTATTTTGGTGTAGAACCCTTGAATCTAGGGTTTTCTCTACCTTTTATTGGCTTGGATATGATGCTTATGATGTCCCTTTGAGTGCTAAACTCTGGATCTAGACCTTGAGAGGTCCAGAGAGCCCCAACCTCCCTGCTTTATGTTGTTCCATTAGAGATATGAACCTAGGTAGGAGTGTTCATTTGGACGGATTGGTTTAATCCGATCCGATCAAGTGAATCCAAATTAATTTTGGTTTTCAAAACGTAGATCCAAATAGTCCAAACTAAATTCAAATCCGATCCGCTCCAACTAAATTATAATTCGGTTGGATCGGTTTTTACAATTCGGTTTTCAAGAAACAATACATTTTTAACAAATATATAACTTTAGTATCAACTTACTCTATAATATAAACTAAAAAATATTGTTTAATGAGTTATAAACTAAAACTTATAAATAACTATCAAGAAAAATATATTATAGTTTACTACTTTATAGACAATTTTTTTTGATAAGAAGTACATATTAACGTATTATAATAGATGAAAAATTTTAATATATTAAAAGAATAATTTAGTACATTTATAATTTATTAAATATATATATTAAAAAGAACAAAATAATAAATTGTAATTCGATTTTTTGGACTATTCGGTTTTTATTTTATAAATCAAAACCAATCCGAAATCCAAAATAATAATTCGGTTTTGCTAAACACCAATCCAAAAATCCGAATATCCGAACCAAATAGTCCGATCCAAATTGTCCACTTGAACAATTCGGTTTTATCCAAATAGTGAACAGTCCTAAACCTAGGTTACCATTTTAGAAGCTATTTCACCAAAAGGAGTCTTATATGTGTTGCATGGGTGTAAAGGTTGAGCCTTTACGTAGTTATTGAGCTTTGGGAAGTTAGATCTATAGGTTAGAGAAACATATTTGACCTTAGAAGGTCATTTGAGTGTTGCCATGGAAGGAACTTGCCGAGTCCATAAGGAGACTCGACAAGTCGAGTCGGGTTGCCCCGCGATTCGTGTCCAGTGGTAACCCGTCGAGTGAAGGGTTAACTCGACGAGTCGAGTGAGGATTTATAAGGATTAAGGGCACGCATGGACTCGCCGAGTCACACGAGTGCACTCGACGAGTCTGGTCAAAGTTTGATAGTTGACTTTTGTTGACTTTTAGGGTTTGGTCAACACTTCGACTTTTGGACCATTAGAAGGGTAAAATGGTCTTTTAGCCTTCTGAGAGGACATTGGAAGGGACCAGTCTAGCCTGGAGAGCCGTTATTGATTTGAGATGATTGCTTATGTGTCTAGGCGGGGCTAGGTCATTGTCACGAGGTTCAGGGAATACCAAGCACATGAGTTACTAGACAACATACGTGTAGGACCGGAAGGTCTACCAGGGTTGGGACGGAAGTCCCCTGAGACACATGGGTCGGAAGGTCCCATAGAGCTATGGCCTTGAGTGGCGTATGTGTTGTATGTGGTATTTTGGGGAACTTACTAAGCTTTTATGCTTACATTGTTATGTGTTATGTGTTTCAGGTAGTAGCGAGGATCGTGGGAAGGCACCGACATGATCCGTACACACTGACAGATGATTTTATTCTATGATCTTGGGATATGTTTTATCATGATGACATTTGTTGAACATGAGATTTGATAATATTGTTGAATGAGTTTTATGTTGTTTGAAAAATGAAAAATTGTTTTAAATTTTTACGCCGTTACATCATCCGTTAAAGTGACCATCATTTGACATTCCTCTTGATAATGAAGTTTTTGTGAAGCCATATGGTCACCAGGTAAGCTTCTTAAGCCACGGTTATTATGTTTCTCTTTTCTATCATGCCTTTATCATTTTTCAGGTTTTGTCTGATTTTAAAAGTGAGATATTGTTCTAAATATTTGTGTTTTGCTTTCATTAGTATGTCATTTAGTTATGAATTAACTGTAACAAATAGCTATGTGCTCTTACACAAAGCTCAACTTGTACTTCACAACGTTCATAATGACCCCTGAAAGTAGAAATTATACCATTTATTTCTATCAGTTTACCTTAATGTATTTCTTTACTATAAGATCAAAAGTTGTGGTAGCAAGGAATGTTTCCAATACAAAAATCTAGGACAAAGCTCTAACATCGGGAGGTATTAAGTAGGCTCGACTGAATTCATATCACTTTCTGATAAGAGTGTTAATTTATGACACGACACGAAACAAAATTGGGACGAAACTGAAATTTGAATTCGTGTTCGTGTTAACTGTAAAAAACACGATGTCGTGTCGTGTTCGTGCTCAAAATTTGACACGATTTATCAGTTCTTTATCATGTTTTTCGTGTTTGTCGTGTTATATTTGATAAAGTATTCATTAAATAAACTAATTTTTAATATATGTTATATTTTTTCGTGTCGTATTGTGCTTTTCGTTTTTTAATTCGTTCGTTTTCGTGTTAGTTAAAAAAACACGACATTGTATCGTGTCGTGTTCGTTTACATAAAATATTATTGTGTCATGTCGTACCATACATAAACACGAAGCGATAACACGATTTGCAACCCCTACTTTATAAGCTTTTTGAGTACACTATTTAATATTTAATTTCTGTTGTATTGACAATTTTGAATATAGGTTGTAATGACTCTAAAATGTAAATGAGAGTTATTGGGTGGTTCGTATACCGACATTAATATAAGATATATTGTTATTGCTAGCAAAATGTTATTTATTTAAACTTTCCTTTTAATATATTGTAACTTTATAACATTATATAAATTTTGATGCTATCTATGCTAATAAATTCAAGTTTTTTATGTTGTTTCTTTATCAATTCTAACCTTGCAACACAAAAATTATTCCCTAGTTTAAGTTTTAAATTTAAATTATGTAATGTGTTTTTAAGTAATGAAAAAAATTTATTTATGTTTAATAGTTGTGTTTTTTATTTAATATAATATAAAAAAGATAAATAATATGAAATAGTAACCATTAAAGGTATTTTTGGTTTTCCTCAATTTTAAACTCGAAAAATGATGCAATGCCATCTTTCATTCCGTTTCTCTAGATTTTATTTTCGACACAAAGACAAATATCAGTTAGGCTATCTAGAGTGGTGCTTATTCCACGCGTGGAATGCTGAGGGGTACACCTTATAGACGTGTGAACACCGCTCACAAGGTGAGTGGGTTGGGTGTGACGTGGTTGACAAGACGGGTGAAGATGAACAATAGGAAATAAAGAACATCACCAACTTCACTTTCATTCAAATTTTCCTAGTTACATATATCGTCCTTGAAAATGTTTTTTATATTTTATTGTACCCTTATACTTATTATTAAATTAAAGTAAACCCATATATATATATTAAAATATGTTTTATTATTCTATGTTTTTAAAATATATATTTATGTTATAAACTATATTTTTTAATTAATTTAATGCTAAAAAAAAAAAATATTGTGTAGTTATAACCATTTCAATTTGTGGGTTTAGTGGGTTGGTGGTGATGTGAAGCTGGCATTATTAAATCGAGATGATTTTTTTTCTTTTTTTCTTTTTATCACACTATGTCAGTATCTGTTCATACTTAGAAGTCGCGTTGACTCGGATCCCCTGTCAAGCTCAAGCTCTATTTTGTTTCCAAGAAACATCTGCGTATCATAAAATCCATCCATCTCCTTTTCTTGTTTATTTTTATGTCGATTTCAGATTAAGCCATAAGAAATGGCTTTTTTGAAAGATCCCGATATTTCCCAATCCATCTCCACACTAGCTAATCTGGCAATATCTGTAGCACAAACCACGGCTAATTTCAAGCCAGAACTGAAGCTACTCGTTGTCACCTTAGAGAGGATTGCACCGATCATTCAGGATACAATTAATATGAATCAGAAACTAGATCGTCCAGAGGCAGAGTGGAAGATGCTAAGAGATGAAATGCAAAGAGCGATAAAACTTGTTAAGAAATGTTCCAAAGTAAAGTGGAATATCATCAAGAAGTCAGCCTACCGACAGAAGTTAAAAGATATCAACGGTAACTTCCTACGATTCTTTGAATTCGAAGTTCAAGCTTTGCAGAGTCGGAACATTAGGGAGACGCTTTTAGAGGTAAACAATGTAAAGCTGAAAATGGACAGTTTACCTTCGGATTTAACGAAAGATACCCGACTGAGAACAGGTGAGGTCGGTAATCGCAGTGGTTCTCTGTCGTCTTCATTCATAACAGAACAATCGAGATGTGAAAACATGGAAAGAGAAAAGTATGGTTGGCGGGTTCCAGCACTTCCGAGTGGAATTGTGCCATTTGACGAGCTGTTGGAGAAGCTGAAGGCGGAGGTTGTTGCAGGTATCGATGGTGGTGGTGATGGTAGTTCAATGGATTATGAGTATCTGTCGGTACTGGTTGTTGCCGCTCCTGGCGGGTGTGGAAAGACGACTTTGGTGAAAATGCTATGCCACGATCCTGGAATTGAAGGTAATCCATCACATTCGTGAATCATCTTTTAGGGTTTCTTTATATAGAAAAAACATTAGTTAGTGATGCTATCGTCTATTACATTCGAACAGAAAAATTTGGGGAGAATATTTTCTTTGTGACAGTTTCAGAAACACCCAATATGATGGTAATCGTCAATGATCTCTTTAATCCAAATTCCTCTGGTCCTCAATTTCTGTTTCAAAGCAATGAAGATGCAAAAATCCAAATGGAGAGCTTTTTGGATGAGAAAGTATCAGGTCCTATGCTTCTAGTATTAGATGACGTGTGGTCTGATTCCTTCATTGATAACTTTCGATCCAAGAATCGAGGATGCAAGATTGTGGTCACATCTAGGACTGCCTTTCCGAACTATGATGTTTTCCAATTGGACCCTTTAAACGAGAAAGATGCCAACACTCTCTTTTGCCACTCAGCATTTAGTGAAAGCGAATGGAGACCCAGTCCAACTATTAATGATGAGCTAGTGAATCAGGTATCTATTATCAATTTCAATACAATATATTTTAGCTGCCTAAAAATGGAGGTTTCTTTCTCTTGTTCTTTCTTCTTCTACTTGGTCTTGAGACTAACTTGTTTGTGTATTCCTTCCATGTAGATGGTAACATGTTGCAAGAAACATCCGCTCACCCTTTCTGTGGTTGGCAGATCCTTAAATGGGAAGGATGAGTCAGTCTGGGAATCCATGCTAAAATCTTTGTCTCAAGAAAGGTTGGTTCTAGATTTACACAAGGATGTACTTATGGGTCTAGAAAGAAGCTTTGAGGCCTTGGATGACGAATTCAAAGAATGTTTCTTGGATTTGGGGATATTCCCTGAAGATGAAAGGATCCCAATTAGCTCCCTATTGAACATGTGGGTGGAGTTGTACAACCATGATGATGATGGTGTGGACACCCTCGCCAAGATTTTTGATCTTAACCACAGAGATCTTGTCAATCTTATGGCCACAGGGTATGTGAGTCACCCTACGTACAGTTCTTAACCCAAAATCTTTTGAATTTTATTGTTGTAGTCGACTAATCCCGGAATTATTTAGTTTTGGGAATGATTTAGGAGCAACGGTTACCTTTTGTGACCAACAATTCGTGACACAACATGATCTACTGAGGGAGCTTGCTATTCACTTGAATAGCAAACTACCTTTACCACAAAGGAGTAGATTGATTATAAATGCACGAGGAGAAGACCTACCCGTACCCGCATCAATTGAACAATTGCAAGAACCTATGCAAGCCCGGATGTTGTCTATTTCCACAGGTTTTTATTCTTTCATAAATTGTAATTGTTTTAAAATGGAAGATGAGGAAGTGTGAGAGTTTGAATCTCAACGTCTTTTTATCAACCGATTGCAGGAGAGTCATTTTCCTCACAATGGTGGAACATGAAAGTCCCACATGTTGAAGTTCTCGTCTTGAACTTCATGTCAAATACATACACTTTACCCCGTTTCTTGGCTGGAATGCCAAAGTTAAAGATTCTAAATCTCTCAAACCATGGTTTATACCCTACAGAAATCGAGAATTTTCACCTTCTCAGCTGTTCATACAATTTAACAAGGATTAGGCTTGAACGTGTTGCAATAAGTAGCTCCATTTTACCACTCCTAAACTTGCAGAAAGCTTCATTTATAATGTGTAAAATCGGCAATGCTTTTGAGAAAGTCAGCACGAATACCTTGCCAGGATTACTGGAGCTAGAGATCGATTCTTGCCAAGATCTGGTCGAATTCCCGGGGACATTATGTACAACTGTGCGCCTCAAGAAGCTGAGCATCACAAACTGCATCCAGATGAGTGGATTTCCAGAAGAATTTGGCAACTTGACGAATTTGGAAACACTGAGTCTTGGTTCTTGTATGAAACTGGAAAAGTTGCCAGAATCGATCTCGGGGCTTCAGAAGCTAAGGATTCTCGACATTTCAGATTGCTTAAAGTTGAGCAAGTTGCCAGATGAAATAGGAAAGCTAGGTGGTCTACGAGTGATTTACATGACAGGTTGTACAGGACTTCCTCCTGATCAGCTGCCACCATCTGTAAAAGATCTATCTCATACACATGTGGTATGCAATGAACAAATCTCTTATCAATGGCGGGAGTTTCGTAACTTGGAGATACATCTGGTGGAAGAAGATTAACATAATCTTGATTTTTTGAAGCCCTGAAAATCATATATATGATAATCATCATTGGTCTTCATCTCAATTAAGTTCCCCTTGTTGCTGCAGCTGTTTAGTTGACTGTATCCTTCAAAACTGACCTAATAACATTTGCAACTTATGCCACCTCTAATCTTGATGATTTTCTTTTTCGTTGTGTTTAAGAGTAGTTGTCTTGTAAACGAACCAAAACAAACCATTTGGTTTCTCCAACCTGTCAAAGTTGAGGTTAAGTTGAAAGCATTGTATACGCAATTAAAGTTCTAGAGTCCTTGTACTCCAAGATAAAACATAAATATAAAGAAATAGTTTTCTTTGACGATTTTTTGGATGGAGAAAAGGTTGATTTTAATTTAACGTATGTTTGTTAGATTTTTTTTTTTTTTTTTTTTACAAATAATACTGGTTACAATGATACAAAACTATAATAATACCAAAACAATGATAATACAAGCATAAATAGTAATTATATATTACCAAAAAATATCATATTTATATAATTTTTTTCAAAAACTCTTTAGATTTTCTATCAACTGTATTTTAAATAGTATTACAAAATATATAAAACAGTAATATATATATATATATATATATATATATATATATATATATATTAAAGCGACACTAATAAGTAATAACTGAAAAAATAAATATAAATAGACAATAAAATATTAAAAAATTATATATTATACAGATGTATTGATATAGTATGAGCCGTGAAGGGCCGGCCCAAGCCATCAGAGGGCTACAAAATCTAATTGGTATCGAGTTTTGTCACTTTTGACCAGACCTTCATTTCATAAAGTAAAAAAATGGGTAAAAGAGAAAATGAAAATCTAAAAGAAATTGAAGGCAAAGGCGCAAAGCCGCGTGATTCCAGATTTTGAGACCGAATTCATCCTTTGGTAACAATACATGACCTCACCGGTCAACGCTCTCACTCCATCTCCCTCAGACCCTATGACTTTGACTTTCATTCTCTTCTTCTCTGATCTGACTCGTCGCTGATGCCGCCTCCTGCTGTTCTCTCAAATACTTTATACTTGTCATCATATCTCATCGTTGCTCTGGTTCCAGTCATCTCCGACCACAACCATAAGGTTTCTGCTTCTTCTCTCTTTCCTCTTTGTTGCCTGTCGTTGAGATAGTATATATTTCTCAAAAGTTTTATTTATTTATTTTTTTTGTGAAAAAGCTTATTGGTTTCTTTTTCATTGTTTTCCTTTTATTTCGTTCCTTTTTAGTATATTACACTCATCAAATCAAATAATACCTTGTTAACGGCACCCAACAAAAAAGCCTAGTGAAATAGCTTTACTGTAGTGGTGGCATGAAAAAGCTTTAATATTGTAGATGCTTAAAGGCTTTTTGCTTTTTCAACTCATTTTTGCTCTATAGGAAATACTACACTGTACTGTGTGTTGGTATTTGTCCTTTGTCTCGTAATTTTTTTTTTTCATAGTTCGCATAAACAAAATGTTTCTCTGTTTTTGACTTTTAGTTTACTGACAAATTATTTTGTTTTGTTTAGATGATTAGTTCTATTGCTACTCATCCACTTCAGCTTAGTATGTTTGTTAGGGGTAGAAATGGAAAAACAGTTAATTAAATTGAGCTAAATATAGCTGGGGAATCTTTGGTTGTGGAAGGGCATTTTGGGTAATTTACATTTTATAGTTAGAGGTTTAGCCTATATATGCTGGGAATAATGAGGGGGGATATCATCTTTTTTTGAAATCTGCTCTTGTACCTTGGGAGAGAACTAGACTCTCAAATTTCTAGCAATCATCAGACAGAGTTTCATTTTGTATGCACCAAAATCATTGAGTATTGAGCAATATTTCCCAGAGTATTCTTACACTGCTTTTCTTTGTATTCACTATTCAGTGAGTTCTTGTTGATCTTATTTGAGAGGGTGATTTCATAGCAAAATTGTTAAGGTACGTTCAAGCTATTGCATACAACTTCTTCCATCGATCATGGACCATTTTGATCACCTAAAAATTCGAATGGAAGACATAATATCTGCCACCGGAAACTTTAGTCACGACAGACTAATCGGACGTGGTGGGTTCGGCCCGGTGTACAAAGGAGAACTCTCACTTTCAACACCAACCATGGTAGCTTTCAAGCGCTTAGATCGTAGACTCGGACAAGGGAACACTGAGTTTTGGAAGGAGATCACAATGCTTTCCGAATTAAAACATACAAATTTAGTTTCTCTCGTTCACTTTTGCATTCAGGGTGACGAGAGAGTCCTTGTTTACGAATATGCCTCTCGTGGAAGCCTCGATCGCTATATAAGTGATGTTAGTCTTACATGGACTCAACGCCTCGATATATGCCTTCAGGCTGCACGTGCACTAAGGTACCTTCATGATCCGAAGAAACCTCAAGGAAGAGTTCTCCATCGTGATATTAAAAGCTCCAACATCCTTTTGGATGACAAGTGGACTCCTAAAGTTTCTGATTTTGGGTTGTCAAAGATTGGCGTATCAAACCAACCACACACAGTTGTTGTCTCCAATCCTGTTGGCACAGTTGGATATTGTGATCCGTTGTATTGGGAAATGGGCTTTCTATCAAAAGAGTCTGACGTGTATTCCTTTGGAGTTGTACTCTTTGAAGTAATGTGCGGAAGATTGTGTACTGAGTATCGTAATGATAAGCATACAAATTTAGTAAGTTGGTGGAAAAAATGTTGTGATGAAAAGCAACTAGATGGTATTATCTTTCAACATATAAAGGAAGAAATAGAATGGGACTCTTTGATAACCTTTTCAACCATCGCCAATCGATGTACAAATAGAGAGCGTAAAGAGCGACCAACAATGGATGAGGTTTTGGAAGAACTTCAGATTGCACATGAACAACAGGTAGTTAAGCATATCTCTTTAGTCTTTTCATTAAAATCATGTATCTCTTATTCTGTTTTTCAGAGAATACAATGTCCTAAAACAAAATATCTCTGCAGAATATCAATAGCAACGTCCTTCTAATCGAGATGTCCGAGCGTGCTGTACCTCCACTATCCTACACATCCCAAAAGGAACTCATATCACTTCTTTCCAAAGGCATACTTGTTGATGAGGGCAAAAGGGTAATTAACTATATATATTTGTATCATGTGAAGTGTTCTTTCCAAGCAAAACATAGTTTATTGGAAGCTTTGTCACATGTTCATTTGGACAAATAACGTTTAAGATGCTTGATTACTAAAAGTAGAAAAGTAAAGGCTGTTTAGGTTGATGCCTATTTATTTGTTTAAGTTGCTTACCTTTTATGCAGTTAACATTTGGATTTCATTAAACGAGATTTTACTTTCATACTAAACTGAATATGTTTATTTGGCAGTGGGTTACAATAAATAAAAACAAACAATTTCATGAAATGATATCCGCAACAGAATGTATACATGGAGGGAGGTTTATTCGTCGCTGTGATGATTATTCAAGGTTAGCGACTTCTTTTAGTGAATGAGTATGTTTATGCTGATTGGATATTTGGATTTAATAAGATCTTTAAGAGTTTCATGTTCTATCATGTGAATACATCACATGTTAAATCCCTTCTTTTTACTCTGTTTTTTATTAATAACAACTATTATTATTATTATAATTATTATTTTGTTATTATATAATTAATGTTTATATTAATATCATTCTTCTGTTTTATTATATTATTCTATTTATATTAATATCATTTCATGTTCTATCATGTATCATCTATGAAGTATGAACACATCATATGTTAAATCCACTAAGGAATGAATGGAGGATTTCTCATGGAATGCGATTCTTTCTCCCGGGCTTGGTTTTCGCTCCATTGAGGAGGGGTGTTTTTTTTTTTTTTTTTTTTTTTTTTTCATTCCTTTGGGAATGGGATGATACATACTATAGTTATAAATTATGCTTATTCATATAATTAATCTACAATTTTATATTGATCTTTTGAAGTTTTTAAAGCTTCAATTAAATATTTAAAAAAAAGTATTTTTAGTTATAATTGTATTTAAAGATTTCATGGTATTGAGTTATATTTATTTTATAGTTTTTTTGGTTCATAGATAATTCTTTTTTAACTTTTTGTGAAACATAAATATGTATTTTGAACGAAATGAAATATGCTTATGTGTACTTTGTTTGAAGATTTATCTGTATTAAGCTTAAGGTTTTTTTTTTTTTTTAAATTTATAAAATAACATTATTTTTCTGTATCTATCAGTTTTATTTTATTTAGTTTTCTTTTTATTAATAACAAACAACATGTTTGAATAACTCATTGTCTCATTCCATTCCATGAAAAACAGCCCTCCCTCATGGAATGAAAATCTGTCAGGAGAAGGAATCACATTGCTTAAGGAATGCTTTATGCTACACCTTTGTGGCAAACAAACAAGATTTTTTTCATTCTACCATAATGCTCCATTCCATTCCCTCTTTAATTATTTAAATACTTGTGATTGCGATATGTGCAGGTTCTCAAATATTTTCATTTCATTTTCCTCTGATTTCAAAGTAGAAGTGAGGACTCGATTCTTGTCACCACATGTCACTTACACCATAAACCTCGTCTTCAAACATGAAATTAACAAATATGGGATATATGTACCCTTCATATACAAATTGGAAGAGGAGACACACTATTCAAAGTCACACATTGTGCAACTGAGAAAAGATGGGTGGCTAATGGCTGAATTATATCGGTTTACTAGTTACAAAAAGGAACATGAATTCAAAATTGAGTTCTTACAATTTGCTATTACAAGTCGTTGGCGTCATTTAGAAGGCATTGAATTTCGACCCATGGAGCATGTAAGTTGTTGACAAAATGCATTAGGTTTTTTCCATTGTTACCCAAGTTTATTATAGTTTCAAGTTTTAGCTTTTTTCAAAACTATACACTGAATAGTGAATACCTATACATTTCGGAGTGGCATAAAGGTCATGAATACACAAATCAAGATAATGAAATTTACGTCAATATAAGGCTTTATATGTGTAATTAATAGGAACTATTTTCTTGATCAATAATTGAAAATTTAACACAAGTAATATACTTTTAGGAAGCACATGGAGATCGAAAGGGCAAACATACGAGGCCAAGATCAGGTTTGGACACTGAGTTGGAACAAAAGATGATACTAGATTATATGGATTTAATCAGGTTGTCAAAAGATAATTTACAGTGGACAACTAAGAAGGATTTTTACTTTCTTCTTCGCAAAGGCTTTCTCATCCACGAGGGTGAAAAGGTATGTTCTATGTTCCTATTCTATAAGTGCTTGAAATATTGTTTCTTTAATGATCATAATTAAATTAAGAAACAAACTAACGAGAAACTAGAGAAACAAAGAGTTACAACACAAATTAATCCACCTAAGTTTCTATTAATCAACAATAACAACACCACTTGAACCTCATCTACCAAGAGCGGAGGAAAGAGACATCGTTGGAATGAACTCTTGTGTTCCTAGAATTGGATTTGACCATTTAAAGAAAATATCACAATCCCTTTTAAGATGTTGGTGAAACCCGTGTGAGATGAGAGACAGAGAACAAATCCTTAATATGAAGCATCGGAGGAAACAACAAACCAAACCATCTGATTAAAGAAATCCAAAAATCTTTAGTAATAGGGCAACGTATGAAGTGATAGACTTTGTTCTCGTCATGGACATTACATAAGGCGCAACCAACAAAAGAAATAAAACCACACTTTTTTCAAGATTGACCCTTGTAGGGAACGCTCCAGTCACACTCTCTATAAATAGTTGTGACTTTTCCCATAATTGGTTTATTCCATCTAAACTCTCTCCTGCTTTTCTTTAACAAGAAACCATTGATTGTAATATTTAAGAGATAAAATTGAAAAAGAGCCAGAAGTTTGTTATTTAAAGATGGTAAATCTCCAATAAAGTCCTAAAATTTTGGTCCGATTTACGTCTTAGTCCTAAACTAATTTTTGTTTACGAAAAAGTCCTAAAAACCGGTAAAAGTTTGCATTTTAACCCTTTTTGACTGGTTGGAACCGGTAACAAATTAATTTGGGACTATTTCATAAATTGACCAAAAATATTGTGACTTTTCTACAAAAAAAAAATATATATATATATATATTAGGGTTTTTCTGCAAACAAAATAATAATAATAATAATTATTATATTAAAAATATAAATAAGTATACTATTTTTGTTATTATTAATATTGTTAATAATACATATAAATACATTTAAATGAAAAAAAATATTAAAGAGATTTTTTATGGGTGAAGGTGGAGGGGATGGTAATGCTTTAAACATTGAAATCATGAATGCCTGTTTGTAGATTCTAACTTTATATATGGTCATTTCACATTTGTTATTATTGTTTTTAATTCAAAATATTAATACTTAATAATTTAAAATAAGTTACCGATTTTTCAAATTGTTTATAAATAGTGAGCGTGTGCTATGCGTATATGTCTTATGTGTAAGTATTTGAATTACCAACATGTGTGTTGCTCTTTTTCATTATTTATTCATGTGTTTTTTTGGAAAAATAGTAGATATAGTGTGATAAAGCAAAACAAGTCATATTACTTTTTATTAAACAAGATATTGTAATTAATACTTTTTAATTTTGATATGGGAAACAATGTAAATGTTTATAGTGGATTTGTTGGATTTGAAAAGAAATCCTTCTACCTTAAAAAAATTTATATACAAAGTGAGAAATCCTTTTATCTTAAATTATTTTTAAACAAGTTTACAAATAGGCAACTTTTTTTAAATTGTTAAGTGTTAGTATTTTGAATTGAAAACAATATTAAAAAATGTGAAATGATCATATACAAAGTGAGAACATACAAGCAGATATTCATGATTTCATTGCTTAAAGTATTACCATCACCACCTTCTCCTTTAAAAAAATTCTTTAAATTTTTTTTATTTAAGTGTATTTATATGTATTATTAAAAATAATAACGAATTTAAAAATTAGTATACTTGTTTATATTTTAATAATAATAATAATAATAATAATAAAGTTTTTGTTTGCAGAAAAGTCATAATATTTTTTTTTGCGGAAAAGTCCCAATTTTTTGAGTCAGTTTATGAAATAGTCACAAATTAATTTGTTACCAGTTCCAACCGGTCAAAAAGGGTTAAAATGCTAACTTTTGTCGGTTTTTAGGACTTTTTCGTAAACAAAAATTAGTTTAGGATTAAAACGTAAACCGGGCCAAAGTTTTAGGACTTTATTAGAGATTTCCCTTTAAAGATACATATCATCACTATGATAGTCAATGCTAACCAAGTAATCAGGAGAATAAAAGGGCACGTGGACTACTTGCCCAGTAAAAGCTTCGTTGCTTATTTTCTGCTTTTAGTTGTAATTTAGCCTATTTAAGTTTTTGTATTTTAAGCTTTGAGTGTACGTAACAATTTCCAGTTTTTCAATCATTCAATAAAGAAACATTCGGCTATCTTGCTCCCTTTATACCCATGTCAATTTATTGTTAGATTAAGCCTTGCCCTCTAATAAATGGTATCAGAGCTTCAAGGGTCTGATCGTGTGTATGCCCAAGATCATTAGATACAATACCATGACAGTAGCTTCAACATCCAATCCACCCATAGACAGCCCATACCCTCTTCAATGCCCGATGCTAACCTCATCGAACTACAATACATGGTTGATTAAGATGGAAGCCATTATGGATGCCCATGGATTAGGGGATGCCATCGAGCCAACAACCGGTGTGGTTGTGGACGAGAAAAGGAGCAAGCAAGCTCGAGCCTTCATCTTTCAATTGATCCCGGAAGAGATGCTTGCACAAGCTGCCAAAAAGAAGTCAGCTAAAGAAGTGTGAGACTCTCTAAAGTCATGAGATGTGGGTGCAGAACGAGTCTAGAAAGCAAGACTATGGGTGTCGAAAAGTGATTTTGAAGGACTTCAAATGAAAGACACACAGACTATAGATGATTATGCAGGGAGGATATCTGCCATGATTTCAAAATTTGGGAGTGCAGGGGCAATTCTGGAAGATGAAGAATTGGTGAGGAAGCTATTCGACACTGTCCCAGAAAGATTTATAAATCTTGTGGCTTCAATTGAACAAAGCTCCGACATGGAGTTCATGCCATTCGAGGAGGCAATTGGGCACTTAAAGGCTTATGAGGATCGACTCCGACTCCGGAAGGCTAACTCAGGTGGTGATAATGCTTTGTTACTTGCAAAGTCGGAGGGCTCCTCAAGTCATCGAAGCCCAAGCAAGTCAAACACGACGGGTGGTCGTGGAAGAGGAAGAAATAGTGACAAGGGAGGAAGAGGCAACTCACGTGGTCGGGGTTCAACGCGTGGCAGAGGTGGACGCTGGGGTGGTACTATTAATCATCATCGACCTGACACTCTGTCACTTACAAGTGTTTCATGACTCTAATTTGTATGAACACTCAAAAATAACAAAACAAAGATTTATTGATAAAAGAGTTCCCAAAAAGGGAAAACTCTTACAATATTTTACATTTTCTCCCTTCTAAGGAAGGAATTACTCACTAGACATTGAACTGAAAATTTAATAGATAGAGAGTGTTTTTTCTTGCACTCGTTATTGCGATGATCCTAAAACCAAAACATAACTCTCAATTTATAGATACATTGAGGGTCTGATATTTGCCTATTATGTCAGGCATGACGTTTTTTATCCACTAAAGATTACATTATTGTGGACAACTGGAAAGCTTCTAATAATGGAGAAAAGGCATTATTATTTTGAGTGGCGGGGCCATTTGACACGTGAAGCATCTTTCTTTAACATGATGAGGATTTGTCATCTTCAGAGGGGGGTCCCTCCTTTGTCTCTGAATCTTTGCTTTCGCAAAAGTGACAAAGATGTTCTTCGAAAAGTTGTTCTGCATGTCGGCAGAAGTGCTGGCGTGTAGCATTGGATACTTCCATGCTATTGTTCATGAATTTTTCTCCAAACTTGGAGGCTTGACGAAGATCTTCTTGGCTGGTGTTGTTGTAACTCCAGCTTGTAATTATACAATGTGAATCGGTATAATTAATCTTCTTTTTTGAACCAGAGATAATTTCAATGATTTTTTCTGATATTCTTCTTAAACCATTGATGCGATTGGGATGAAGAATTTCTGTGAAAGGTAAATCTTTATCTTCCATTGGTTGAGATTGTTCAATCTCTCTATTGGCTTTAGAAAGACCAATTTCCAGAAAATGGTATGGAGAAAGAGTTGATTCTTGAATCCATTCTGGGAGTGAAGAGATGCATCTGATGTAGATCGGATTATCTTTTGCTTTAAGTACTTTCTTTCGAAAGTTCTTAATGGATTCTACCATGCTGCTTGGGAAGAATTTGAGTTCTTGAAGGTTGCAACTTGGGTAGATATTGTCGATTAGTCCAGCTTGAAAGGCTTGGTAGACTAATTTTGCATCTGCTCCTTCGAGAAAGTTGAACAGACTTTTTGTTTTCTTGTCCGTAGTGAAAAACTTTTCATGAACAAGGTCTTCTGGGCATGCAGCTCTTGCTTTCTTCCAGATTGTTCTGAAATCTTCAAAAGAGATTTCAGGATAGTTAACCATTTGTTGAACGTCGATTGGAACGTCAAACCTTTGGTCTCTGTGGGCTTCTTTGACTTTTTGAATTTTTGGTCGAAGAAGTGGTTGGTTAGTCTTGCTTGTATCGTCTTGATAAGTGGCAAGGCTTAATCTTGCAGATGTTTCATTTCTGAATTTTTTGCAAGTAACTTTATCAACTTTACAGAAGGTTTCTGTAATTCCCCAGTCAGTATGAACACCGGCATGGGGTCCTTTATAGATTACATAAAATCTTTCAGCTTCTTTGTTAAGAGCTTTTTTGTAATCTGGTGTAAACTCCTGCACAGATTTGTTAGTGGGTGACAAAGTTGTCATTTTACTGATTCCTTCAGTACAAGGATTGGGATCAACCAATAAGCTAGTTTTTCCATTAGGAAGAGGAGTAGCTGTCTCCTTTATTATGCTTTTTAGCAAAGCATCAGCTTTCAACGGATTTGTTGATTCTTTACCAAGTGCCGTTTGCATTGGAATAGCCTTTGTTTTTGAGCTTTCGCTTTCCGGTACATTGGTGACCGTTGTTACTTGTTCATACAAGTTGATTTTCTGCTCAATTGCAGATAGCTCTATGAGGAGCATTTGTTTCTTCATCCTCAAAATGTTGAGGTCTTCCATTTTTGTAAACTCAATTTTTGTTTACTTTTCTCTCTAATCTCCCCCTCTCTTTTTTGTAGGTGAAGTTTTTGTGAGGAAATATGTCATGAGGATCATATCCTTTTATAGGGCTCGAGAGGAGCGAGTGAGATCATGGATGATGTAAGGCATACCTGAAGTCACGAGTGAGGCAGTCTGCCAGTACGTTTTTGTCTCCTGCGAGATGTTC